TTTCATCATGTTTCATCTGTGTGCGGCAAAGCAACTGTTGGGAACTCCTGAAAAGGATCGACATCCCACAAGGCAGCAAGCCGCCTCCCAAAAAATCCGATCTCAAAAGAGTTGAAACAGCCAACTTGGAAGCTGAATTCAACTCCTCTTTTTCTGTTTCTTGCTTGTTTTCTCTATTTTTGTGTTCTTCGTTCTTTTAGCCCGCACTTACTTGAATATATAAGTAAGGGATAGTAAGGGCGACTAGTTCGCTCCTAGCTAGGACGCAGGATAGTTCACGTTTCTCAAAGGAAGCTCGGGGGCACCTTCCTGGAAGAAGCGCTCGCACTAATCATTTGGTTCCTGGATTTTTTTCACCAAAAAAGTGTGGACACACTAGGGGTTCTTACGGTAGGTGTTAAGCAACTGATGCTTAGATCGCTGAAGCGCGCGGGCGTGTGCGGCTAATGCGCTGCTATTTACAGTACATTCATGTCTCTCAACATCGTCAATGTGCATTTCGACTGCGCAGGCTCACAAAATCTGCCTGCCCGCGCGGGTGCTTCTAGCGACTGCGCTCTCGTTGTGGTGCCGGGCGCATTTTCGCACATGGTGGTCACTTTTCGTGGCAGGCGCAAGGGAAACCTCGTGCTTTGGTGCTCCAAAGTCGACTTTCCGTGACAAGTGCAAGGGATCGGAGCTGCTTTACTTTGAAATGCAGTTTTCGTGGCAGGTGCAGCATGTGGTGGTGATCGTCGAGGAGCTCAGATTTCGTGACAGGTGCAGTGAATCGTGACTTTTGGACATGTGGCTCGTTTGCAGATTTCGTGGCAGGCACAGCACTCTGTGATCCTCGATGTGCAGATTTCGTGGCAGGTGCTGCACTTTGAGCACTTTGTGAACCTCGAAGTGCAGATTTCGTGGCAGGCACAGCACTTGGTGAACCTCGAAGTGTAGATTTCGTGGCAGGCACAGCACTTGGTGAACCTCGAAGTGCAGATTTCGGCACAGGCGCAGCACTTTGTGCTCTCAGATGCTCAAGCACTCGCTCACTCTCACTCTCACTCTCACTCTCACTCTCACCCTCACTCTCACTCACTCACACACGCTCACACTCACACTCACTCTTCACTCACACTCACATTCACACTCACACTCACTCACACTCACATTCACATTCCACACTCATTCACACTCACACTCATTCACACTCTTTCACACTCACATTCACATTCACATTCAATGCACACTCACACTCACACTCACTCACACTCACACCCACACTCACTCACACTCACTCTCACCCGCACTCACTCTCACTCACACTCACCCTCACTCTCACTCTCACTCACACTCTCACTCTCCCACTCTCACTCACACTCCCTCTCACTCTCACTCTCACTGACGCTCACTCTCATCCACACCCACTCTCATTCACACTCACTCTCACCCACACTCACTCATCCACCTTCACTCTCACTCACACTCGCACTCACTCACACTCACACTCTCGCTCTCACTCTCATTCACACTCACTCTCACTCACACTCACACTCACACACACACTCACACTCACTCTCACTCTCGCTCTCACTCACACTCGCACTCACTCACAGTCACAGTCACAGTCACAGTCACACTCACTCTCACTCTCACTCTCACCCTCACTCACACTCACTCACTCACTCGCCACCGCCGCCACCGTCACTACGATCCCCACCTTCATCACCACCATCACTCCTCTGGACCCCAATGCGTCTAGATCTCTAGACTTTCTGCTTATAGACCTCACACACACACACTGTTTGGGGTCTCTCGCCGGGATTATTTAAAACTTAGCTTTCTTGAGATCGTGACTCGGATACAGCAGGTGTGGCACCAACCAAACCGGATCATTCATCGACTTGGCGCTTTGCAGGTGTGGATTTGGATGCTGGTCAATCGGAGCAAAGACAGCAAAATGTTGCAGATACGCTGTCATCGAGAAATTCAATATAGATCAATATATAGTAATATCATGCGCCGGACGTTTACTTCCTCTCTTGGTTGCGCCTGCGATTTGCAAAGAAGCAGCACAGCCACGGAGTGACCTAAGCTCTAGAACAATGAGCGACACGTTGTGAATCCTCTGATTCATGGGTGCATGCTAAATTGAAGTGACATTCCTACTGCACAAAAATCGCTGCGTGGCATGTGGAATAGTCCTAGGGCCCCTGCTACAGCCCAAAGGCAAAGCACCTGCTCTGCTTGGATGGCCTCGAAATGACTTGGGTCAGAAGCTGACCCCTCAACAAACCGGTCGAACTGAGCCTCTCGATCGAATTCCGCCTCTGCCTGCCCAAATGAAGCAAAGCAGAGGTGGGTCAGCTGGAGATTGGAGATCAGTGAATTCACAGGCCACCATCATCGCCTTTGCAGCTTCCAGCTTGGAGGCCTGGAGAGGAAGCACCGACCGGGTCCATGGCACATTTGCTCAGCTGAAAACTGGCCTTGTCTTGCTCGCCGGTACCTCAAAGTTCTTCAGTCATGCAACTCTTTTCACTTCAGAACTTTCGAACCAAAAACAACCCCTCGAAGCAAAGCCTTTGAGAAAACCACTCATTTCTGACTGATGCCACCAAGTCATTGGATGCAGCCAGCAAGTGTGAGTACAGTATATAGTATATACCCGACCCTTCCTCGTTCGATTGGACAATTGCTTTTTCCGAACTGCCCAGAGAAAGGAAAATTAAATAGCAAGACTTGAAGCGAGCCCTTTATGCTGGTTCGACACCGATATGAAGCTTAGGTTGAATCGCAGCTTGTTCCAGTGATATGAAATGATGGTCTTCATGTCCGGTGTTTTGGAATTAGATCGAGTCTGCTGCAGAGAAGGGTACCACAGTGTTCGTTGTGGCTTCATAGATCCCATCTGGCACTACCCTACCACTCTGATCACTGCTGAGCTGAGAACTCTCTGCGTTTCTGGCAGCCCATGCTACTCGTAATGCCTTCAAGCGATCAACTGACTTAAACGAAAGCTCTCGCTGCGTGGCGTTCCTCTAACCCGAGCAGAGCCTTCCTTTTCCGTCTCCAGAGCCAAAGTGCTATGGCCTGACAAGTTGCAGCAGCTGTTCAGAGCTTGGCTGGAAAAAATAAGGACTGCAGAGTTCTTGGTCAAAGACAAGCTGGTGAACAGTGAGAAGCTTAGACCCATGCGCTGAACATAAGCAAAGAACCAAAGAATATTGTTAGCCAGGCCAGATTGTTCACCTGATTCACATACCGAAAGTCCCAGGAGTGCACCAATTCTCCGGCCAAACGTGAAGCTTCACTCCCTGGGTTGCAAGCAACCTGGATGCCTTGTTCCCAGTGAATCAGCGACCTGGTCACTTCACAGTGTGTCAGTGCATCATGATGTGTCGATATCGAAGAAAGCAAATCAGCAAGCAAAGTCTCAAGAAACAACATTTCCACAGTGCCCCTAGACTTCTTCCAGCGGTTCTGTGTGCTTTTCGCTTGTCGATCTATTGAATCTATTGGAAAGAATGTTGTGCTCGCAAATCTTTGCAATGCAATGCAATGCGCATAAGGTTCAGGCGGCTCCCAACGGAAGTTCTCTGTCAAGAGTGCCCACAAGGAGTAGGCTGGAGACATTCCAAACAAGCCAAACCATGAAGTGCGTGCTTGAAACGAATGTGTGCGGAAGAAGGAACCAATCAAAAGGACGTAAGAAACCACAAAAGATCGCAGGGACAGGATAAAGCCAACCGGAGCTTCTGTTCCAAGAATATGAACACAAACAGGTACTGCAGCAACCAAAAATGTACAGTCACCGTGACATGAAACAGCAACAAAGGCCGCACCTGCAACTGGGAGTGCTAAGACTTGTGCTTGACGAAGAGTGACTGGAGCATAGTGAGAAACATAGGCAGCCTTGTCCGCATCAAAATCAATCTAAATTTAAGTCAAACATAAACTTTTTGATTTTCGCATTTGAGTTTGTCAGGCAAGATCGAAAGTGCGACTCTAACAGCCTCCACCCGTGAGTCATGGAATCTCAAGAAGATATTCAAGCGAGCATCACGGCGTTGGTCCTACAAAGTGTTGCATTTTGTGTCCATTGGTCATTGTAAGTGAAGCATCCGGTCTGTTTAAAAAGTGAAGCACCTGGAAGAGGTCGTCCAACCATTGATGAAAGCCCATGAGCTCTGCACTTGTACTTTCCAATCCTTGGCTCACACTCTAAGCTTACAAAACATTTGCTATCGCGGTCGCTAGCCGCAGCTAGCCGCCAGCCGCCGCCAGCCATTTGTTGATGACACGGGCACCATGCTTCGAACAGCTTCTGCATTGAAGCAGGTGTCCTTTAGAGTACAAGAAGTCTGGTGAAACCTACGACATTATGCCCATGATTCTTCCTTGGCCTGCCAAAACAAGCTCCTGAATCACACGGATCGAAGCCCATTAGACTTCATGCGCTGCCGAACTTGAAAGCAAATTAGATGCTACAGGGATATACAGGGTTATCCAAAGCTCAATTGTGCTATTGGAACTTATCACAACGTGTCTGAGTAGCTTCGATCTATTCACTAATTCGAAGCTTCCCATGAGAAGGCTCTCTCGCAACTCCACAAAAACACGAGAAGCTGCTCCGCAGCTCTCCAGGCCTTCGGTAGGCATCTCAATCTATATGGATGATGAGATCTGACAGAATCTTGAAACCAAACATGCAAAACGTATTGAAACGTACAGCTTTGAGGCTTTTAAGTGCAAATCAACAAAAGCTCCTACCGTTCGTTCAGAAAAGTAGTATTGACTCAGGCAAACTCCGCAAAGACTTGGCCGGCGGAGGATATGCCAATTGGTCGCAAATTGCGACCCTATCTAGCGACTCTTCAGGATTCAGTTCAGCCAAAAGAAATTGTATTTCAGGATGGTTGTGTATTATTTGTCCTATTATGTGAGGCCACAACATCATAAAGAAAGCAATCAACTGAGCCTGAAGGGCTAGCAAATTAAGGAAGGTCAAGGGCTGGCCCTCATTTCACCTTCATTGAGGGTGGAGTCCTTTCCTTCACAAATGGTACAGTAGGAGTTGCGTGGGCCTTCCTAGCTGCATCACAGTCTGGTACCTCTTCCCATCCAGCGCTTCGCTCCACCTGCGCCTGGAGGCAGTTATATCGGAGTTTAATGAGCCTATATTTGGAGTGAATTCTAGTAAGACCGTCTCACTCCGGCAAGAGAACAATCTAGCGAGAACACAAAGTCTATGTTTATCAGTTAGCCACGTTTGTGATTTGTAATATCTACCAGAGTCATGCAGTCTACTCACTCATGCACATGGTCAAGCAAGGCATGTCAATGTGAACTAGCGCCACAGGAGGAGTGCTCGAGTGCTCCAGGAACAATGGAGTGCAAGAAATGCTGCTGGTTAGGCGGACGCTACTTGTGCAAAGTCAATCCTCTGCATGGGAATGCAACAACGGATCTGTTGAATAAAAGGCTTTGGTTGGGAGCCCTTGTGAGAGGCCTGCACAGCTTGGTGCGTGTCCAAAGGGTAAACCATCTCCAACCCAAATGTGGCGTTGATAAGTTGTCCGCTTTCGCAAACTATCCCTGGTCAGCTCCATACCAAGTCGAATCGATTTTGACTTGACCCACCTGCACATTAGCACCTTGCTAAATATGAAAACTAAAGACTTGTGTACAAATGACACCATAGCTTCCCGGATTTGGCAGGCCTTGCTCATAGAAGCACGTGTTCCCGGATTGCTGTAAAGAAAGTTCATGAACTCATTCAAGTCTACTTCGCCACTCCTTAGTTGAAACAGGCAGGCGCAGTGTTCCATCAATCTCCAGAATGAACACAGCATCCCTTCTGGAAGCGACAAATCATTGTTGTTCTATATATATCAATATATATAACTATATACACTACGTTTTTTCCAACCCCCAACATCCCCCCACACTGCACAGGACAAGGATCTGATCACCATCCAGCTCTTGAAAAATAGAGTCCAAGTGTGCCTCTGAAATTTGAGGCATAGCTTTTCTCAGGACGGTTGCCAGTTCTAACCGCGACAGCTTGCCGTTGCCATCCGTATCCCAGATTCTGAAAGTCGCTGAGATTGCGCCTGAGGGTGTGGATGACTTGTCCAGAAGCTTCGAAGCCAAATCTTGCTGCCCATCTGACAAGATCCATCGATGAAACTCTTCAAAGCTGACCTTTCCATCCAAATCCTTGTCTATTGCTTTGTGCATTGCATCCAGCTCCTTGCTGGTCATATCAGGATTCAAACGCCTCATCATGAGAGCAAGTTCTGCTTTGCTGATTACACCGCTGCGGTCTTTGTCCGCAGCTGCAAAATTGTGCTGGATAAGCAAGGATCGAATCTCTTCTGCATTTTTGCGAACTGTGGGAGGCGGCAACCACTGTACTTGGCCTGTTTCAGAGTTCGCGTAGTACGTACGGCCCGCGTCATCCTTGTGGGCCGACCATCCTTGTGGCAACTCACGTGGCACCAGAGTGCTGCCCTTTCGCGGCTCCAAGGTGCTGGGCATTGTTTCTAAGTCTAAGCCAAGCACAATACGTATGACAACAAAATCTAAATCATGTGACATCAAGCGCAAGGCACCACAAAATGGCTATATATTTGGTTGCACCTGCAAAGTGACATGGACAGGCATGCTGTCTCATCTCTCAAACCAACATGCATGACGGTGGCGTGGGAATGAAAGGTTCTTTGTCCCTTCCTGCCAAAGCTGAAGTCCGTCTGGTGGCATGTATGAGCAAGTCCAAAGCAAGTGCGGTTGTATTTGAAACTATGGGTGTAAAGTGTACACTTGAACACTTGGTTTACACCGTATCATCAGAACTCGACAAACGTGCACTTCTGCAAGCCAATTCTACCAAGCTGAGAGCCAAACGAGCGAGACTGTTCTCTTCAGGGTCCTCTTCCTCCTGTTCCGACAACAGCGATTCCTCTGTGAAGTACTTTTTTGGAACTTGGAGCATCCAAAAAAGACAAAAGAAAAAGGAAGAAAGGTGGAGGAAAAAAGGACGATGAAAAATGAAAGAAAAGCACTCGCATTCCCATTCCAAGAGCTTTGACATGCTTTGTCTGTAGCCCCAGGTTTTGCCAATGCCACCAAAAGCACCTCCTCTGGCACTTCGCTTGCATCCAAACGATTCAATAGGTCAGAAGCGTCCTGCAAATCCCGTGCTGTCAGTGAGTTGCGGCTGCCCAATCCGTGCCCAGATTTGTGCGCACAATCGGCTTCGCTCCTGTGGTTCAGCTGCAACTTGCTCATCACCCTGGCCTGTCTGACACACCAAAACAGTCGTGTCGAAGCGTCTCCATAGGAAACACGCTTCTTGGGCCTTGCTGCATGTCGTCTTCATTCTGGTTCCCCGCCTAAATGAGGAGCTGGAAGCTCAAAAGAATGTCTAGCGTCTTACAGTAGCGTGATGAGTTGTCATCGAGGCGTCGTCAGCTGAGCCGCACACAACCCAATTTCCTAAAGGCCGGCCAGCATCCCTCTCTCCTGAATCAACGGTTTCAGGTTTCATAATCGTCGCATTGAAGCAATGGTTGCTTGCACATTTGTCCATGGCCTCCATGCTTCACGTGCATCAAATAAGACCTCACAAAAGACACGAGTCTCAAACAAATGTGTGTTTGTGCACTTTGTGTCATGTTGTGTCTTTGTGTTGTTTGGATGTTCCTCGACTTTGTCTCTCCGCCAGACCTGAATCTAGAGAATGAGATGACTCCATCACCCCCTGAGACTTCTTCCATGACCTCAGGGGCAAAGACACAAAGTGGCACGAAGTGGGCCAGTAACCTACAGACTGGGCACCTCATCCACTGTATGGCCATCAGGAAGCACATCTGACACAAGCATAGCTCCATCACCTAGCAGAAGCTCAGCTCCAACAAAGACAGGTTGATGAAGATGGAATCACTTGATTGATACCAAATCAAAGTCCACGACTAGACATTAAAAGTTATGTTTTAAACATGTGTTGCGTAAGCACTGAAGAAGCATTGCGATTCCTTTTGTGACGTCCTGTGCCTGAAAGAAGACGCCTGAGTTCTTCCATGTTGATGTTGCCATCCCCATCGTGATCAAAGGTGCTGAACCTAGGACCGTTGAAAAACACACATCTTATCTTGTTAGAAAATGCTGCTCAGGAACGCATATCGCATCAAGCGATCCCCACGCTCCTGGCACAACCAACACCAGTTTAACCATCGATCAAAACAATCATGCCAAACGAAGGAGCCAGTGGTCGACTCCCAGAGCCTCTTCCAAGTCTAAGGTTGCCCCCAAGAACTCTGTATAGGAGATCTGGCCATCCTCAACTCTTTAGCGAGCTTGGACGAAAGCAAAGCAAGGGCAAACAGGGCAGCACAAGAAAACGGACTGGCAACTAGCCCAGTCCTGATCCAGATCCATGGACGCCATCAAGGCATTCAAATCCTATGAAGCGTTGGCGGTTAAACCCTTCAACACAAGTGTTTTTTGTAAAGCCCGCTCCTACTTAATTAGGGAGAAGTAAGCTACTAGCTACTTAAGCTACTACATATGGATACAGCATAGCTCACGCTTCTTCAAGGAAGCTCCCCCGCCTGAGGGCGGGGGGGAGCTTCCTTGAAGAAGCGCTCGCACTGATGATTTGGTTCCTAGATTCTTAGGGAAACTGAACATAAAGCCACAGGTCTGAAACTTGTCGGCCTGGCGAAGACCCTTTGCCAGGGATCGAAGCTCATCTTGATCGAGTTGGCCCGACTTGTCAGCATCGAGCGCCTGGAACAACTGATAGTCTTCGGTCAACTCTTTCATACCCAGCGCCGCAGCCATGCTGAAGGTGACCTGAGTTTTTGTCACTAGGTCACTAGGAAGTAAAGTTTAATCTGCCGATGTTTGTGGTTAAGAAGTGTTAGTATCAAGCCAAGGGCTGGCGGAAAACAACTGGCGCTTTACCACCGTGCTCTTGTTGCGGAGCCCGGAACAAGCTTGGAACAAACCGGTAAGACTCGTAAGACTGCAATCGTAACCAATGAGGCCCTGGCAGCTCGGTGAAAATAGCTGGTGTGGCGTCCAAGATTCTTCGGCAAAATGGTGTTCACTGAAGAATATTCAGCTGAAGTGTTCACTTGTTGAAGCCATTCGTGCTCAAAGCATTGTCTGGCCGACATTCGACTCTGCGGATTCTTGTCCATGAGGGAACGAACCAGGGAGCAAGCAGCCGGTGGTATTTTGTCGAAGGCGGGCTCTGTATTTGCAACCTGACAGTAGAGGACAAATATGTTGTTGGTCCCTCTGAATGGCCTGGTGCCAACGAGCATCTCGAAAAGCATCACTCCCAGTGCCCAAGTATCACTCTTTTGTGTCAGCTTACCATCGAACCCTTCAGGTGAGAGGTAAGCTGGGCTGCCTTTGACTGTAGCAGGCCCGCCAAGAGCCGCCTGCTCATCAAAAATTTCTGCCAACCCAAAGTCAACCAAGAGGACATGCGGCTTGGATCGTCCAGCTAAGGCATCCGCAAGAACAAAAGGTGTCAGCAGCATGGTGTTGCCAGGCTTCAGATCACAGTGGATGACCCCACGTGAGTGCATGTAGTCCAAAGCAGAGGCAACTTGCAAAGCTGCCATTTGAACCCAAATATGAGGCAACATTGCATCTGAGTCCAAGGTCTCCCGTATCACCGATGCCAAATCTCCACCTGGCCCGAACGATCGCAGAAAATCAAAGCCGAATTTAGGCAGGCCCTCCCCGCCGACCTTCGGCATAATCCATGACAATATGCAAAGACTCGGTGCTTTCAAAGGCCTCACCACGTGGCCAAATCTTCTGACTAAGACTAGAGGAATCAATGTTTGGAGCTGCTCTTTGCACCTCGAAAACACGAACAATATGAGGATGATCCAGAGACTTGAGCATGTTGACCTGCAAGCATGCTCAAGCATGTTCAAGCTGGCTGAGAGCTTTTTTGTCGAATGTCCGGCCTCATCCTCCACTTGCTCTCCAGCGACACTGAGTTGGCTCTTTGGCACCTCATGTGGGATGATACTAGTAGCTGTCCTCCAAAGACCCCAGAGTGCGCACAGCTTTTGAGAGTTACTCTACATTAGATAAGTGCCCTGCTGATTTCACCACACGGGCAACTCCTCAGTCTGTCAGCCCAATGTTCCAATAGTCGTAAATCAAATATGTTCATTTCAGACCATCAGTGGGGCAGTGTATGTATAAGCTCCCAACCTAAAGAAGCATGCAGCGCCAAAAAGACTTCACCGTATGAGCCCTCACCAAGACATGCTAGAAGTCCAAGAAAGTTTGGGTGTGCGCTTGTCACAAAGATTTCTCTATGTCTGATCCGACAACAAATTACGAGTTGATGCAACTCAAAAATCCACCCATGTTCGGAACTCAATCCAATTGCTGCAATGCCTGCACTTGGCATGGCCAAATCAGCAACCGACAACACAAACAGAGTACAGAAGTTTCCTGGCTGTCACTTTCTGTACAAACACGACAAATGCGGTTGGCGGTGGAGTGGCAATGAGATCGATCCCTGGCACAGATAGCCTCTCCGAGCTTTGCACCTTTGAGGTAAACCTGCAACAAACAGACACGGTGAGAGACGTGTGTCCACAAGGTCCTCTGTGTCTTTCACCCGAACACGTCGTTAGATTGGACCTTGTTCCAGTCGTCGCCATGACGAGTGTGCACTAAACACTGCCGAGAGACCTGCCACGGGTGCAAAAGGCAAAACCAGACGGAATGCAACACGAAGTCATGAGCACAGTCACCGCGCTGAAACACTGCGTGCAGCAGTCGTTTTTTGGCTCGCGGGTGAAAAGCTGCGCAGACGCGCAGGTACGCGTTATCGGTGCTCTTGGCTTGTGAGACATACTACCCAGTGAAACCTTGGCAAAAGTGATGTGCGTCTGGTTGATGTCAAAGCCGTTTCCCCATTGAGGGAAGGGTCATCATGCAGGAAGACGCAATCTTCTCATCAGGCTTCCTTACACTCTGCAGAGTCAAGTCGGCTGAAAAACTTCAATTGTATATATACTGGGTTATATATCAGGTCTAACTTGGAAGACTGCAAAGCGCTTTCCGTAGCTGGACGGCACTCTGACTCTGAACATGTCGCTTGGCCCTGGATGATATGCATCCATGGGTGATCATCCTAGGATGGGCTTCGCGGCTTCGCTGTTGAGTATGAACCATATCGCGATTCTGTGGAGTATAGATAGTTTGCTATTTACACACTCCAGTGTAAAGTGTCCATTTTGGTGCTGACTTCCCGTTGGCTCCTTCAAACTCTTCCCCTTGCCCTCTTTCCCTTTCACTCCGCTGGCTCATTGCCTCTTGTCTCTAAAAAAAAAAGTGTATCCTTAGTCCTGTATTCTGTTCATTTACCTTCAATTTTCTCTGCTTTCTTCAAGTACATCTCCATCATTTGCATTGTTTTTTGCAGTGCAAATTGTAGCTTGCATATAATATACATTGTAGTTTCATTGCCATTATATATATTGTATAATATAATATGTCAAGGACAGAAGACCTTGCGTAGATCAAGAGAGTTTCTGCATGCCAAACAGCAGGCTCAGCTCGCAGGCTCTCGTGCCTGTCCTGACTATTGCTGGTTCGCATCCGTTCCCATTGAATGGAAAGCACATACTGTAGCTGCCTCGCCTTCTCGGAGGGTGTAAGGTATGTACATTTGCGCATCAAGTTCTGAAGGGAAGAGAGCAAGAAGAACAAAAGGGCCGCACGAAGACAGGAAGCTTGTGGAAGCATGTTCACTCTGGTGGTGCTTCGGAGACCAACTCGAAGTACCGATAGACAAGTGAAATGCAGGTTGCGGCCCCAGAAAACGATTGGTTTGCTGCAGCCCGCCCTCATCGGTTGAACACGGAAAAGGAAGTGATTCTCTGTCTACTTAGCAGCAAGCTTCGAAATCTCCAAGTTTTACAGTCAGTAGATGATCAAAGTTGCTGAAACAAAGTATACCTACGGACTGTAAGATAGAATGCCTACTTCTTTTTCAACATGTTTATCATGGTAAGTTAGAGTGCTACTATGCACAGATAGAATGCCATGTGAAATCTGCAGGTAAACATCACGATGACAAAGAAAAGGGCACACTTTGAATGCCACAGTTTTACAGATATACAAACAAAAGGAAAGGACACGGAAGAGGAAAAAGGAACAGGACACAATTGATAAAGAACAAGACATGGAAGCAGAAAGGAAAAGAAACAGGAGAGGAAACAGAAGAGGAAAGAGAAAGCAAAAGGACAAGGAAAAGGATAAAGGCACAAGGAATAGGAAAGGAAAAGGAAATGAGACAGGAAAAGGAAAAAGGCAAAACGAGGGAACAAGGAAAAGGAAACGATTGCTAAGACGGGGACATGGCAGTAGAAAGCAGAAGGAAGGGGAAGGAAATAGAAAATAGAAAAAAGGACAGGACACCGAATATATATATATATATATATTCGATGAACCTCGATCAACATATGTCGACTGCTGCTACCCTTTTCTGCGAATCGATTCAGGTCTGTACTGTCTGTACTGAAGTGCTTTGGTTTGAAATGCGACCCACGTCGCTTGTGTCATCTGACATCTGACACTCTCCCTGTGGGAGCACTCCATCCGTATGTAGTGACCGAGAGGATACCGCAGGGGCGGTCCTACGGCCACAACGGATGCCAGCTCTGGACAGAGCAAAATGAAAAGATTAAATGAAACTCCCTAGTCATCGTCAATACCTGGGACCGGCAGAACAGGTATGATGGCTAGGCGGCGGGCAGCCGAAAATGGACAACCGGACGGCAGCGGCAGACAGCACAGTCTCAGTCTTTCATGGCCGGCAGCCCAGGCTGCAAGCGTAGCAAGCATAGCCATGGTAACTGAAAGTAACCCAAAACACGGCCCTCAAGCACCAGCAAGGCCACCGGTGAAGTGACTATCACCAGGAAACCAGACTCTTCCGGCAACAAGCCAAGTCAGCCACCAGCTCGACCAGCACCAGGTGGACGTGGAAGTAACTAACAGGGTGTGGCAGGGTGGGAGAAAAAGTTTAGCTTGAGGTACCAGCAGCGACACTGCTCCTCAAGGGGCGTCTCCCCAGTTTGGCTTGAGCATTCAAACATTGGGAGACGTTGATTCGAAGCTTCCCAAATAATTCATCATCACCGACCCTGCCTACCTTAAATGATTGAATATATTCGATGAACCTCGATCAACATATGTCGACTGCTGCTACCCT